TGTGCCATCTTGTAGGTCTTCATGCCACAGTAGGTGAGGAATAGGGCATGCTTGTGACTGTCTGGAAAGTCCTGGAAATTGTTTGCTTTCAGGAACATCCAAATCTCCCCATGTATGTGTGCCAGTCCTCTGTGTGTGGATCGAAAATTGCCGGTGCGAGGGATGTGTGCTATGCCATCCTGATCCTGGTTGATGCAGGGTGTCCTTGCGATAAGATGGCCACGGATGCCACAAAGTGGATGGTGAAATTCCTTTGTCCTTCGTTGTCAGTGTTAGATGCAGTTAGAGGACTGCAGGCTCGAAAAACATTCAGCACTTTATTTCCCTGTTTGTTGCAATGCGATCTGCCAGCAGGCTGCCAGAGCTCTCCATTTATTCAGCTCTGGCAAGCCTGTCAACCAATGATAGCAGTTTAAATATCTCACGGCTTGGCGAACCAATCCATGGGGATACGCAAATTCTGGCTATGTCCATCTGTAGGTGACACCAATAAGTGTATTAGAAGCAAACAAAGATGGAACTTCTCATTAATTGATCATTCCTTCCGTCATAGTCTACAACCTTCCTCTGTATCTTTTAGCTGTATTGAACCAGGCTAATGGTGTCTGTAACTATGGACTACCATTTCAGACCAAAGTATTAAGAGCAGATAGAACAGAAAAGAAAAAGTGGTAGTGGTAGGGGAAACCTGCTTTTTACTCTTCCCTTGTAATTGAGAGACTTTTTGATTACAATAGTATAATGAACAAACATTAGAAAAGCAGCAAGAACAGAAGAGAAGGTTGTTGGAAGAACCTACAGAAACCAGAATATCACTAGCCTTTGCTTCAGAAAATGTGTGAATTTGTAGGTTGTCTAAATCATTTAATACTAAATTGACAGCTTTTGAAAAAAGAATAGATGAAAAACTTGTAAAGAAGAAAGAGGGGATGAAAGAAGAAGTGAAGAAGATGGAAAACTGCAAAACAACTGACAGGAGTTATAAAACAAATTAATAGCAAAGTGAAAATTCTGGAGAGTAAAAAGTTAGGGAAAAGAGAATTAAACCATCTATCATTACTGAAATTAAGAAAGAAGAAATTTTGTTTGAGATTCAGAGCATTTTTTTTTGTTTTGTTTCCTATCTCAGTAACAGTAGATCTTAATTTTTTCAAGATCAACTGGATCAGTTAAGTATTGCCACCTACTGTGACTGTTCAATTATATATCAAATTCTCCAAGATTACCTGGACAAGTCCCTGCTGTTTACTTGGCAAGGTTTTTCAGGAGAGGTTTGCCACTGCTTCCTTCCTAAAGCTCAAAGACTCACCCCTGGCTTCCCAGCTGGCTTTCTGCTCAAGGTGGGACTAGACAAGAGGGTTATGGAGCAGGTTATGACCAGTTATGGAGAACTAGTAACAGAAATTTTGAGTAGTCCAGAGAACCGGTAAATACCATTTCTAACTGTCCCCGCCCCATCTATTCTCTAACTCCGGAGGCCCAGCCGATTGGGAGAGAATGGGGAATTTGTAGTAACCTTCCCCTATAGTGGGAAGAGAATGGAGATTTTACAGTATCCTTCTCCTGCCACGACCACCAAGCCACACCATGCCCACCAAGCCACGCCCACAGAACTGGTAGTAAAAAAAATGAATCCCACCACTGGAGTAGACTCACAGTCACCAGGTTTCTAGTCTGCTGCTTTAACCACTATACCAAACTGGCTCTCTTTATCTTTTTATTTGACAGTAAAATGCCCAGACAGAAATTTCAGTGGCATAATGAACTCTATAAACAGCTTTGGACCTGCCATCCCACCCCGCTTCACTCACCTTGTGACACCCATTTTCTTTTTAAATGATGAATCATTGATATTATACATGTTTTCAATATATGTAATTTACTTACAAACTCATCCTTATATACAGTTGATCCGAAACAATCCCAGCTTGATCCAGTAAAATATTTTCTTCCACATCCTAGGTTTTAAATCTGTTGCTTTCTAGCAATCCCTTATTTTGCAGAGCAAGTTGGTACTCTGTGGACAAAATTGCTGGGAAAACAAAAATTAGAAAATCATTCCATGTAACAGACTTTGGGTGAGGGGGAAGTAAGATTGGGAAAAGATACAAACTGTTCTTTTGTGGCCCTAGTCCCAAGGGAGGGGGCGGCATACAAATCTTATTAAAGTTAAAGTTTAACAAAAATACCTCTCTGGAAAGTTCAACTGTATTCTTAGGAATTATTGCTGATCTCCTATTTTTAAAATATTATTTTAATTTATGTTTTATTTCATTTTTGAATTTAGATTTTAACAAATTCTTTTGTTGTAAAGTCATTTTGCTGTTACAAGACTATGCAGTATACGTTAGTGTAATTGTTCATTCTTATGCAAAATATTCTGCAATATTATGTGAAGAAGAAAAGATTTGGAGCCATTCTGTACATAACATTGAGTCTCATTTAAAATCCATCTTTAGAACTGCACAACGTTTTTTATACAATGGCAAAAACAGATGTAATTAGCCAGCCCTTAATGAAAGGCTAGAACTACTCTTTGAGAAAAATGGACAAAAAATTAAAAGAAAAGCCTAAGGATATGTTTTTCCTTCTAGCACCATCTATGGTCCATCTGGATTCACAATGTAAATTTATGAGTTTTAAAAATGAGTTCTCCAAATCAGGAGAAAACACCTAGCTAACATCGGGAAGGTCTCAAATGCTAAGCAGAGCCATATATATAGCCATTTTGATGTTCATACTTTTCAAACTTTTTTTAAAAAAGTATTTTGTCTGAAATCCTGGAATATATGAATATTTAAACAATATTACTTCAGAATAAAGTGAAAAATCCTGTATTTTAACTTTTCATCAATGACTTCCCTTTATTGCTACTTTTTATATTGCAGATATGACTTCTGAGTCTCAATTTTTGAGTAAAAATTTCACTCTGTATGGATCTTTTACCTTTATTCTGCACATGTATTGGAAACTTCACAATATACCATGTTTCCCCGAAAATAAGACAGGGACATTTTCTTTTGACCCCTAAAATAAGGGCTTGGCCTTATTTTTGGGGAGGTCTTATTATTTTTGAAGTGCAGGAGGTGGTGAGCGTGGTCACCTCATGGCTGCTGCTGTGTTTCAATATTTTCAGGAAGGGCTTATTTCAGCGCATGCGCTCAAAAGCCCGATTGGGCTTATTATCCGGGGAAGTCTTATTTTGATGGAAACAGGTTACTTGGGGAAGGGAATGTTACAATTTATAGTTGCTCCCACATTCAGCCCTACTGCCCATCAACTTAAGCTCTTGTGTTTTAAATTACTGTACACAGTTAAAGAATGTAAATGCATTCAAATGATTAGAGGATGGTACTAACATACAAACTTGCCACTTCCCAACATATTTCCAGCACATATTTTAATAGCATTCAGTTATGGTTTGACAAAGCTGCAAGGTCTGGGTTCACACAGCATATGAAGCCATATACCATGACTACAAATCACAGTTGCCGAAGTTCAAAGAACAAAATACATAACAAACCAATGTTTTACTTAATGTAGGAACCTTCATCTTTCATTTTCCAGTTATAGCTTCTTTTCACAACATACCAAACAGTACAAATGTGTTTGGTTTCCACTTAGTCTGTTTTAGTAACCCAGTCATTGAGTGTACAGAGACTATGTGTGAACGTAGCCAAATGTTAATAAATTTCAGTTAAGCAAACCATAATGGAATGTTTGAACCCAAAGGTGCTTTTTCAAGAGGCAACTGGACTTTCTAGTTTTTATTTGAAGACATTTCACTCCTCATTCAAGAAGCTTCTTCAGCTCTGATTGGATGGTGGGGAATGGAAGGATTTATACTCCTTGCAACAGCTGGTCATTTGCATTCTTTTAGAAAGTCATTAAGGTCACCTGCCGTTTTATTTATGGCATCAGGGTCACCTGAGTGGTGCAAATGGTTGTAAATGGGCCCTTTTTGCAACTGTTGAAAGGACTGTTGTAGATTGGAGATAAGGTAAAGGTTCCCCTGGCACATATGCTGGTTGTTCCCCACTCTAGGGGCCAGCGCTCATCTCTATTTCAAAGCTGAAGAGCCAGCACTGTCCAAAGATGTCTCCGTGGTCATGTGGCCAGCATGACTAAACGGCAAAGGTGCACAAATGCTATTACCTTCCCACCAAAGGTGGTCCCTATTTTTCTACTTGCATTTTTACATGCTTTTGAACTGCTAGGTTGGCAGAAGCTGGGACAAGTATGCGGCACTTGGGATTCGAACTGCAGAACTGCCAACCTTTCTGATCAACAAGCTCAGGTCTTAGCTTAGCTTAGCTGTTGACAGAGGGCTGTTCAATTTTGACATAAACAGCCTCTTTAATCCCTCTTTCCAACCAGTGATCCTCTCTGTCCAAAATATGGACTTTTCTGTCTTCAAGAGTGGCCTGTGTCTTTTAAATGCAAGTGGACTGCTGAATGTAGCCCTGATCGGTTTACTCTCCTATGTTTATTTTCCATACCATGACCCGGATGACTGAGAAGCTGACGTTTGAATCTGATCTTTGTACTTAAATTGTGACATTTTGCGACTCACTGGGACCCCACCATACCCTTATGATTTGTTTTCCATGGTTCATAATTAGTATCAGCTGAGACCAGCTGAAACTACAATACCTCCCTCTATAAATAGCCTTCCTTCTCAGGGAAATAGAGAAATTAAACATTCCTGGAGTGAGGGGACTCCCTCCTCCTTAGTTTTAAACGCAAGACATTAATATCTGATTTTTATTCCTTTCTAGCCCTCGCATTTTGTTTTGTTTTGCTTTAGCTTGAGTTTATATTTGCGTGACAGGAAAAAAAGTTAAAACCTATTTCAACTGCCTTGGCTTATCTCCGGGTAATTAATATCATTTACCGGCTTCTCATTGGGTAGGAGGAAGCTCATCCAACTGCGTGCCAGAAGTTCCCGCCCACTAAGATTAGTGGGCGGGGAGAAAGTACAGGAATACCACTACCATTAACTACAGCGCAGTTATCTGGGGGGCCAAATTTGGGCAAAGACGGTGCCGCGTTCGGCTATCTGATTGGTTCTCTGGAGGAGCACTGACGATAACCGCGTCCACTTACAGGCATGAGCTCAGCTGAAGGAAGAATAAAAACTTAGAGGGGCCTCCAATGACATCCCCGAATTTCCTATCCCCGTGGGTCTCCGCCGAGGAAGATGCGGGGGAAGGAAGGATATGGAGGGGGTGGGGAATGCAGCTTCTTATTGGTCGTCTTTTTTTCTGCGGCATCCAATTATGGGGAGGACTTTGTGTGTGTGTGTGTGTGTGTGTGTGTGTGTGTGTGTGTGTGTGTGTGTGTGTGTGTGTGTGTGTGTGTGTGTGTGAACCCTTGGGAAGTCGCTTCCTTCTCTCCCCCGCCCCCTCCCTCCCCCAGCCTGTCAGGTGTGGTAACGGTTGTTCTCCTTCCCCCGGCTGCTGTGAGAGGCGCTCTCAGCTTCCCTTGGGAATGGCGGGGATTCCACGACGTCTCTCTTTGTCCCAAGGTTTCCCTGAAGGAAGGGAGTGAGAGGCGTTCTTAAAGCTGTGTAGGGAAAGGGATGGAGGTGAGGGGGTGGGGGAACGGGTGTGAGGAAGAATGCTAAACAATAGAATGGCACGCTGAGGTATGAAGCAGAAGCGGAGGGGTCAGGCAAAGGACAGGTGGGAGAGGGGGCAAGTGGCATGGGGCACCTGGAATCGAAAGGGGCAGTATAATGAGGGCTTGCTGAAGGGCAAGAGAAAAAAATAAAGAATGGGTACAAACTTCGTAGAGGATTTAGAAGAGTGGAGGCCAGCAGTTATTTAAGATACTGGAAATGTAACTAAGGAAAATAAATGAGATGTACAAACACTAGAAAGCAAGGGGAAGCACAGGAACTTCAGGAATTGAAGTCAGAGGTTGTAAAACCTAATAACCAAACACCTCTATTAATCATTAATTATACAGCAATAATAATTGTGCATTTAGCAAAAGGAATCAAGTAGTTTTCCAGTCATGTTTTTCCCAATAGCCCAACTTTTCTCAATGGAGAAATCCAATTTTTTTTCTTTGGTTTGGCTCATTTATATTTACGCTTATGTGTGGGCATTTGAATAAAAATCTCGACTTTAGCTATTCATTTTGCTAACTAATCAAACATTTGAGATTTAAAACTCAGAAATCTTGGCTCAGAATTCATCCAAGTTGGAGATGTAGATACTATTGTATAATTCTTTCCAAATCTTTTTTCTACATAATTCTTTAATGTAAAAAAATGGAGAGCAATATTTTTATTAACCTCATTCCTGGAAAGTCAGAATATAGAAATGTACTTACCCAATGTTTTAAAATTTTAAAGCAAACAATTTAGATGTGAATTAATTGTCTTTCTACCTTCATTGTTTTATACCAGCCTAAAGTAGCTTTCAGAGGTAGCAGCCGCTATTTGAATAGTACAGAATCCAGTGGAAGACTGACGGATGTGTTCAATAACGTTATCATGACAGGTTGCAGTTCCTTCTATGATTGCTACAAATTGCAGGTTCAATCAGTTTTTTTAAAGATAATTTTACTTCAAAAACATTTTAGGAAGTAACCACATTGAAGCATTGTATGACAGTATATAGTCCTATTATATTGACTTTAAAATAAACTTTATATTTAAAATGCATTATGACATAGTTCATGAGTGAGTTCAGTATTGGGGTGATAACAGAATAATCTCCAACTGTATGGGCAGCTCGTCAATCATATATAACTCTGGCACCCTGTTTTTGTAGGTTTTTATAGCAGAAAAATGCCATTTTTTCAGGGAGAAATAAAAAAGGCAAAATTTTGTTAGCTTTAACATACAAATATTTTTAAAAATTCTATCCCAAAACCTTAAGCAGAGGTAACCATTTGAATATTCTGCTGTTTCTAAAGATTCATTTCAACGTCCTATGATTCTTGGTCAATGAAAATAGATGTGCAGCCCATGCCCCAAAACAAATGATATTTTAGTATGGTTTATGCATTGTTTACTCAGCTATCCAAGCCATGTTTCTGTATCACAAAAAAGGATTGTCTATATAGTTTTTTGTGAAATTCAGAAGATACAGGGAAGAATGAGTCAAATGACATATCTTTTCTTTAATTTGCTTTTTTAATTTTTTGTTTTGCTCTTCTGTGTGCTTTTTCTACTTCTATGAAAAATAAATGAGAATTCAGTTTGATATACTTGATAAGTTATTAATAAAAATGAGTAAAAAAGGCCTCCAAATTTTCACTACTTGAACAAGTATGCCAGTATATTTGTTTCTGCATTTGAATAGAAAATACCTTTGCATTATTTGTCCCAGGAATTTGGAGCATAGTGTTGGGACTTATAAAATGATTGCTCATCTAGGTCTAATTGACCTAATTGTTTCAAACCAGTATGGTATTTATACAGAAATTAATAAACATTTTAAATAATACTTTATTCTGTCATCTTCATAATTCAGAAATATACTACTTTCCAATACAATGCTATAATAGCAAAAATGTATTAATGTATTAAGAACGCATTATTGTCTGTGGTAGTTTAGCATGATGAAGAAATCACAGGATCCAGTGGTCCCATGTAAGATGTTACTCGAAACAGATGATTTTGTGTAATCTTGTTGCATTTTTTGGTTGTATTTTATGTTTCAGGTCTTTGGCCATATAATACAATGAATTTACTGTATTACAGGTAGTCCTCATTCAGGACCACAATGAGTCCAACATTTCTATTGCTAAGCAAGACAGTTTTTAAGTGAATCCTGCAGTTAAGTTAGTAACACGGTTGTTAAGTAAATCTGGCTTTTCCATGGACTTTGCTTGTCAGAAGGTTGCAAATAGTAATCACATGATCCTAGCACACTGCAACTATTACAAATGCATGCATGTTGCTAGGCATCCGAATTTTGATCATGAGACAATGAGCATGCTGCAACAATTGTAAATGTGAAAAATGGTCGTAAGTTGTTTTTTTAGTACTGTTATAACTTTGAACCGTCACTAAATTAATTATGTACAGTAAGTCTAAACAACTTAGGCTGTGGGACCATAGCCAACTCGCTATGGGACAACTCGCCGCGGAAGAAGAGTTACACTAATATCAAAGAAATGGTGGAATATAATTATTAAAGAAAGGATGCCAAGGGAGGGACAAAATAAAAACTGAATGACAAACATTAAATTAAAAAAAAATATTTTAAATAATTAAATTGAATGTTGAATTGTCCCTGGTGAGTTGGCTGTGGTGATTAGGCCCTTCCGGTCGAGGACTACCTAAAGTGATCTATCTGTGAATGAGTATCAGTTGATCAAGAGCAAGGCAACAGTGCCAACTTGCTATTGTGAACCCAGATACTTTTGAACTTCAACTTTTGAACTTACAAAGTGTCATGCTAATTAAGGCTGCTGAAAATTCTAATTCATTTGGAGGACCATTTATCCTATACATCTATTGATTTCATGCCCAGGTTTGAATTTTCCAAAAGCAACTGACTAGAGATTCATTTAGATCATTTACCAGGGGCTAACCAAATATTACTTCCAGCCCTCACTACTGACTATGATGATAATGTCCTCTTAATGTTGACTATTGATGACCAGCTCTTTACTTTTAACAATTTTCTCTCTGATCTGTTCTCAACCTGGTCATTTGATTTTCTTGTGGTACACGTATCACTGTTTAATTGAATCCACCCATCTTGCTCTTGGTCACCCTCTTTTCTTTTATTCTATTTTTCCCAGTATTCTCCAGAAAGCTAGATCATCATTTAATGTAATAATTTGAACCTTATTTATGCCTCAAATGAAAACTTTGGATAGATTGTTTGACATTTAAATTCAATAGCAATCAGTACCCTTATTAGCTTGCTTTTTCAAATACCAGTTTTCAGTTCCATTCATCTCAGGGAAAACCATTGCCAGTATCATTTTTATTTATTTTATTTATTTAGAAAATTTATATTGCCTCATATTTCCACATGGTGATTCAAGGCGGCTTACAGGAATATAAAAACATATATAAAAATAAAACTAATAGAAGAAAATAAAATAATAAAATAATAGCCCACCCACCTCAGCGGCAACATTTCACACAAGCCATTTAATGGGCTCTATCCTGCTCTCCTGCTTTCCCTAGGCCCACTGGCAGAACCAGGCCTTTAGTGCCTTCTGGGAGTGTTAGAGCGGGGGACATTCTAATATCTGGGGGAATGATGTTTCAGAGAGAGGGAGCCACTATGGAGAATGCCCTTCTGGGTCTCACCAGTATATCTCTAGGGGTTGGGACCCACAACATTCCTTGCTTCCTCGCTCTAGTGGGTTGGGTACATGTGACTGGCAAGGGACAGTCCCTCATATACCCTGACCCCAGGGTGTATGAAGGACTTTAAAAATGACAACCAGCATCTTGAATTGCACCCAGAAGCCAATCAGCAACCAATTCAGTTCCCGCAAGAGAGGTGATACATGTGCACACTTAGGTCTGCACAAAACCGTACAGGTTGCTGCATTTTGCACAAATTGGAGCTTCCTAATGTTCTTCAAGGATAGCCCCATGTAGAGCGTGTTGCAATAGTCAAGACGGGAAATGATTAGGGCGTGAGTGACTGAGTAGGAATTTTTAAGTCAACTCTCTCTATATAAAAGAAAGCGTTCCTTTTTAACTAGCATTAGTGCTGTACATATTCCATTGTTTTATATATGTATTACTCCTATATTAAGACACTTTGGACATCCAGTTTACAACTTTTTGTTTGAGGATGGATTTACATTGTGTGATTATATAGAAATCATTTTTAGTTATGAGGGAATAAATTATAAAGAATGAATTATATTTTCACTGTTTTATTGACAAGGGAAATCCAAATAAACTGCATTTTAAAATTTTTATATGCTCTGGAAGTTATACTTCACTTTCTCTTTCTTGCTTACATTATTTAATATAATACAAGAACAATTCTGATAATTTTTTCTACCAATGCGTGGATTAATTTGAAAACAAGCTAATTTGATGTTATGTCATTTTTTAAAAAAATATAAAATTATAAAATGTAAATAGTTGAATATCTATGAAATGTGAACAGTTATTATGGCTTGGTAAGATCATGAAACAATTTTGCCTTGAAATTAGTTAATAAATTGAATTGAGTAACAATGTCTAGCTTCATACATTTGCATTAATCTAACTTCCTAGTATTAGGCAAACAAGCCAGATGGTTCTTTTCCTCTTTATAACCTGCTTAACCTCAATACTGGAAATTAACTATAAAATTTATGTTGTAAGTTAAGAAAAGTACTGCTTTGTATATTATCTTTTTTTTTTCTTTAAAAACAGAATGAAGAGAATGTAGACTTACGGCAAACTTACAGTACTTCACTTTCTACAACCTCTGAATGTTTAAACCACAATGATTCTTCTCTTTTCTACGTCCCATGGTCCACTTATGCAGATGATAATAAACAACCTCCAAATTCTCAAATTAATGTAAAGAGCAGGTATATAATTTAAGAATCAAATGAACTTTGAAATTTCTTTGCTTTCTGGCATAAGACATACCTAATATGTTGGGGATTTTCTAAATTGTTCTAACGTGCAGCAATCTTTCTGCACAGAGCATTTTATAGAATGAATAAAATTTCATATACTAAAAGACTCAAAATAATGTTATATCATCCTATTCCTGTGATGGTGAACCTATGGCAAGCGTGCCACAGGTGGCACATGGAGTCATTTTTAAGGGCATGCAAGGCATTGCCCTGTTAGCTGGCCAGTGCGCATGCGCGCGCAGGCAACTGACTCTGGCTTTCTTTTGAGGCTGTTTTTCGCCCTCCGGAGGCTTCCTCCAGAGCAAAAAAAAATGGCCCTACGGGCAAATCAGAAATTCAGGAATGGACTTCTGGTTTGCTCATAGGACCATTTTTCACCCTCCGGAGCCTTCAGGGAAGTCAAAAACCGAAAATGGTGACCAGAAGTCACCATTCCCAAACTTCTGGTTCCCCATAGATCCATTTTTCGCCCTCTGGAGCCTTCAGGGGCCTTCAGGAGGCTTCCCTGTAGGTTCCGGAGGACAAAAAAACGTCCCTATGAGCAAACCAGAAGTGACTTCCAGTTTGTCCGTAGATCTGTTTTTCGCCCTCTAGAGACTTCAAGGGCCTTCAAGAGGCTCCCCTAAAGGCTCCAGAGGGCAAAAACTGGCTCTACGAGCAAACCGGGACTTTCGGTTCCCCCCTAGGTTTTTTGCCCTTCAGTGCCTTCAGGGAAGCTTCCTGAAGGCTCCGGAGGACAAAAATTGGTCCTATGGACAAACCAGAAGACACCCTACCCGAACTTCCAGTTTCCCTGTAGGTCTGTTTTTTGCCCTCTGGAGCCTTCAGGGAAGCCTCCTAAAGGTCCCTGAAGGCTCCAGAGGTTGAAAATGGGGCTTAAGGACAAACTGGAAGTCAAAATTCTCCAGTGCACTGCTCGGAGAGTCCAATGCTGGGTTAACACAGCCTATCTGCCTTTGGACTGAGTGATGTTTTTAGTTGACCACGCCTCCCTTTGCCTCTGCATGCTCAGTTCGAAAACTCAGTCCGCCCGTTAGGACTGTTTTGGGAGAGCTCCAGTCCAAGTTCAGATAGGCTGGAAAGTTTCCCACTTTGGACCATGTTTGGATTCTCATATTAGAGAAAATTATATCTGTTGCAAGAACTGTCAAAGATTTGAGGTTTGTGTAGCTTTAAGAGGGCACCAGTTTCCCTGTTGCTCCGTTTTTCGCCCTCCAGAGGGTGGGAGGGGGAGTCTGTTTTTGCCCTAGAAAGCCTCTGGAGCCTGGGAAGGACAAAAAAAACCTCGTCAAAAGCGGGCCCCCCCACTGGTCATGTGCAGATGCGCGTGCGGGGGTGTTGCGCACATAGCATCATGAGTGGCATACCCGCGCATAACCCCGTCCCCCCCGCTTTTGGCACGGGAGTCAAAAAAGATTCACCATCACTGTCCTATTCCATTCTGTAAACATATTTGCCGTTTTATTCTTTAAAAAAAATAGAAATACAATGATAGAAGATGTAAAAATAAAAGCCTTCAAATGTCTCTCTTCTTCTAATAGCAAGACAATAATTTAAGAATTACAACTATATTTTTCACCATATCCTCTTATGTTGTACTGTATTGTACTCTGGCTGATAATTTTATTATTCTAAATGACAGAAAGGCATATAAATGACAGATAAGACAACAAGAGAAAATGAGTCTCTTGCATATTCTATCTTTACAAAAGAAGTTGGTGTGAATCTTTAGGGAATGATGGCAGCAAATATTTTAAGGAATGCTTTTTATGGTCTGGGTTTTATAAATTTTTATAATTATAAATTATAAAATCACCTTGAGCCTGAATTTTTGAATTTTTCTTGGGAAAATTCTGGAATTACTAACTATTTATAAAAAAGATGTTGTTTTGGCCTTTCCAAACCATAGAATATTGGAGTTTTTAAAAAAACTCTTGACACTTGTTTTTGCTTTTGAAAATTTTATCAGTTTTATATTTTTAATGTGAGTGTATTTGCTCTGAATAAGTAATAACATAAGTACAGCAATAAAACATGGTGAAACAGTGTTTCTGTAATTTCACAAGTTGCACTGCTGAACAGCTGTCCTCTTACCAGATTACTACAAAATAAATATATTTCAACAATACAAAGTTTACATATTATCAGATGACTACAAGGCTAACAAATTGTTAAATCATTTGAGATTTTCTCCAACAATAGCAGTTTGGATATATTTGAATTATGGAAGTTCTTAATTGTATGATATTAAAATATTAATTTTAATATTGATTTAAAATTATGTGTGGTTCGGTTGGTGATGATTTGGTTGGGAAATACATTTTTATCAGTTGTTATCTGGTAGGAAGATAGCACAATTCTCTACCAGACAGAAATACAGAGAAAATTTCGTTATGCTATGTAAGAAGGAACTTGGTGAAATAGGTTGTAGTTCTGAATAATTCATTATATCATAAGTACAGACTATACCAGTGATGGTAAACCTTTTCAGCACCGAGTGCCCAAACTGGAACGCGCATGCTGGGTGCAGGAAACTTGAAGACCAGCTGGTTGGTGCACATTTGCCAGCTAGTTGGTCTTCGGGTTTCTGGCACATGTATGTGCTCTGCCCAGCTGGTTTTCGTGCGCACTGGAGCACTGAAAACCCAAAGGCCATTTGGTCAGCGCTCACATGTGCAACGACAGCTGGTCTTCGGGTTTGTTGCTTCAGAAATATCGCACTCTGGCGCACACAAAGACCAGCTGGCCAGCAGATACGCGTACGCAAGAAACCAGAAGAGCAGCTGGTGATGGTGTGCATGCCCACAGAGAGGGCCATGCGTGCCATAGGTTCGTTATTATGGGACTATACAATTAAAAAGACCAAACAAAATAGAATTGGGATGATAAGCAACAATTCACTATACTTTATTTGTCCTCAGGATTCAAACAGAAAGAAATGACTATGGCAGTGAAACAGATCTATATGGACTTGTGTCTAACATCTTGGAAGAACAAGATAAATCACAGCCCTATTTTACTGAAGGGTTAGTACTGTATTTAGAAGAGAACAACATTTTCTCATGCTCGCTGTTACAAGCAGCATTCATCATATATAGCCACTTTTAACTTATTTCCAATAGTAAAAGGTTGCAATTTCTGTCCCTATTTTAGCAGTCTTGATGCATACATATTTTAAAATTAAAATTTCTAAGTATATTTTCAGCTATTTCAGCTGTTTAGTAATTGTCTTAAACAGTATATTGATTCTATTTCAAAATACTATCATCTTGAATGTATCTATTAAATAAGATATATGCCAGTTACTTGCAACCTCTTCATATTATCAGCATACTATCTTTTAAATATTTATTTTTACTTTAATATATATGTTGTTCTAAAACTATAATTGTAATAGCTTTTAATAGCTCTCTGGATATATTAATTGTAGGACACATCAAAACTAAAAGCATAAAGTATAAAACTTAGTAAGGAATTGCCACAACTATTTATGTTTCATTCTTCTAGAGCATGTGCCTCCAGTTTAAAATCTGTATGGCCTGTGAGCACTACTCGATTTACAGACCACCCTGATTTGTTGTCTGAAACAAAAAGAGCAATAGATGGAGTCATTCCTCAGCAAGCTTTTTATGGTGGAGAATCTTTACCAGTTTCTGAAAAACAGTATCTGCACACTGGTAATGTAACTTTGCAGCAGAAGGTGGATGACCTTTACCATGAGCTTACTAATATAGATCTTGATGAGCAATGGCTGTTTCCTTCCAGGAATGATAATCTCAGCTGTTACAATGTTCAGTCCAATGAGAATGCAAAGGCATCACAATTTCAAGACTATTCATATGCGAAAACATGTTTTACCCCACAAACCAATCTTTTAGAAGCAATAAAAGAATCAGGAGCAGATCCCTACACTTACGGAAGAGAAAAAACGGGGCCTAAGGGACATGATTCACAACATCAAAAGAAAGCTGAAATGTTTCTTTCACAATTTAATAGGTATGGTGAAAGTGCTGATTACTATAGATACCTGGATTATTCTCATCTTAATAAAGTAAAGCAAAATAAAAACATAAATTATGGTGTTCAAGAGAGTAAAAAATTACCAAGTGGAACACCTGAGTTACCAATGTTAGATACAGATAATTATAGTAAAATTTTTCAAAACAAACAAGTAGTCCCAAAGAAAATGGAAGATGTATCTTCAGAACAGCAGAGTTTTACATTTCAAAAGACTGCAGGACTCATATCAGAGAAACAGTTTGTGAATGAAAATTCATTTACCCCTGATTTTGGCTTAAAGTCGGATTTTACCCTGAAGTCTCATATAGCTGTTCCAGGAAGTGGTGATTTTGCAAATGTTACAGAAAATTCAGATTATTTCAAATCACTGAATATTTTAGCAACAAACCCAGTGACTACTTCACCAAACACAAATCTGAGGCCAACATGGATAAATATACAAGCTAAAAACAGTTCCTCTGTCCCTATTCGGAATCAAAGCACCTTGATAAAATTGAGTAATTTATCTACAGGTTCAAAAGGTTCCAATCATTCTTATGATTTTTCTCAGCTATCATCAGCCAATGTAACTTTAAATAATAATTTATTGCTTCAGAAATATCGCCAAGAAGCACCTACAGTATTTTCTAGTTTTGATTTCAAAGACGGTGGTGCTGCAGACAGAGTTTCTTCTTCCAGTCATACAGAAGGATTAAGTAAAGTAGAAGAAAGCCTTTTTGAGTCCATTATTGACAAAAAAATTAAACCACCAAATGGTTTTTGTGATAACTATTCACAGCAATATGGGATCATTGAAAATGTGAACAAGCACAATTTTCAAGTTAAACCACAGACTGGACATTATGAAGTTGAGGAAGGCCAAAAACATTTAGATGGATTGTCTCAAAATTCTTACCAAGATATACTGGAGTCTCAAGGCCACTTAAATAGTCATAGACAAGGAGGTGGAGATAGTAATATTGTCAGTAACCGTGTAAATCGCAACCAGGTTTCTTGTTTCTCAAATAATTTTATGATGGGTGATTTGAGACATAGCCCAAATGCCCAACAGCTAAGTTCAAATAGATTTCCTTTGAAATCCAACCATGCTTTTGGACCGTCAGTTATTCCTTTGATGGATTCCTATGATTTGTTTTCCTATGAGGATTTAAGCCATTTGTACCCATATTTTAATGATATGATGTATGGAGACAGTTCTTTCACCGGCTTCATGCCAACATTTGGATTTCAAAGACCAGTGAAAACTCGAAGTGGATCAGCCAGTGAGCTTCATATTAGATTGGAAGAATGTTATGAACAGTGGAGAGCTCTAGAAAAAGAAAGGAAAAAGGTAAGAAACCTATGCAGAGTAGAATAGTTATTACAAATGATATATGTCTTATTCTTAAATGTCTTCTTAAATTACTTCTGTTAATAAAGTTTCAAATATCTATATTCTACTATACTAAATAAAACAGAATCTAAGATATAAAATAATGGAAAAATTAATTATTAATAGGTGTAGTAATAGAAGACAAGGAGCAGCAGTCATGTATAAGTTTTCTCTAGATTTAACCCAAACGAATTCAATCAGCTTATTTTTGGATAGTCACATGTAAGTCTTCCCGACAGTGGTAATCTAAAATTTACCTCTTTTCCTCGTAAAATGAAAGCTTATTATTTTTGTATGGAATAAAGTATTACTCTTGAGAACACAAGTACTGTCTTCAACCAAATATTGAATACAGGTAGTTTTTGACTTGGGATCTTAATTGAGCCCAAAATTTCTGTTGCTAAATAAGACATTAGTTAAATGAATTTTGCCCTGGTTTAAAACTTTCTTGCCAGCGTTATTAAATGAATCACTGCAGTTGTTAAGTTAGTAATACAATAGTTAAGTGAATCTGGCTTCTCCACTGACCTTGCTTGTCAGAAGATTGCAAAAGGTGATCACATCAACCCGGAACACTGCAAGTGTCATAACAGTGAGTCAGTTGCCAAGCATCTGAATTTTAATCACAACACCATGGGGATGCTGGAAAAGTCATAAGTGTCAAAAGCTGTGGTAAGTCACTTTTTTCAGTGCCGTTGTAACTATGAATGGTCACTAAATGAACTGTTGTAAGTTGAGTACCTGTAGTCAGGCCATCACTAAAGGAATCCCATAGAGGGGAACAAAAAATACAGATAGTTCTCAACTTACGACAGTTGAGCCTAACATTTCTGTTGCTAAGTTAAGCAGTTATTAAGTGAGTTTTGCCCCATGTTATGATCTTTCTTGTTGCAGTTGTTAAGTGAATCACTGCAGTTGTTAAGTTAATAACATTGTTAAGTGAATCTGGCTTCCCCATTGACTTTGCTTGTTAGAAAGTCGCAAAAGGTGATCACATGGCTTTGGGACACTGCAACTGTCAAATACATGCAAGTTGCCAAGCATCCAAATAATGGGATCATGGGGCTGCTGCAATGGTTGTAAATGTGAAAAATGGGTCTTAAGTCACTTTTTTCAGTGCTACTATAACTTTGAATGGTCACTAAATAAATTGTTTTCCATTGAGGATTACCTATAGATGACAAATATGTACTATCAATTTACCCTTCTTGTACAAGTACTCTTTGACTTGCAATTCATTTAGTTACTGAAATTATAATGGCACTTGTTCGCTGTACGGTGATTTTGCTGAAAACCAAAAGTATATGCTGACAAAAACATAAATCACGATTTATGTGGGATGCTGCAAATAGTGATAAATGTGGGCCAGTTGCTGAGCACCTGAAATGTGATCATGTGATTGGGAAGATGACAACTATTGGAACTGCAGAACCAGATTGTCAGGGTTCCGACCGATACCCTAATTAAATCATGAGCCTCAAGCCAAGCTTCAGAAGAAATCCAGTTATTTATTAGGAGCTCTATGTCAGCACAATCCAACTGAAGCCTCTGTGAAGTTCTTCACGATCCAAGTGAAGAACTCTGACCTCACTTAATTCGTGCCTTGGCTCTGACTCTCTTTCCTCCTTCCCCCAAGGCGTGTCATCAGTCACATCCCCCAAAGCAATTTTGCGGGTTGTAGAAGTCACTCCCTCCACTCACTGTGGGTCCCCCCTGGAGATGACCTTGACGTTGCTGCTGAAATGTGCTTTATTTTCATTGAAATGCAGTTGTGAGGCTCGGTTTTCCCATCCCTCTGCCTAGGGCAACTTGAGAGCAGGTCAGGAATGCTTCAGAGTTGACACAGATCATAAGTATATTTTGGGAAGTCGATGTACAACTTCCCAAAAGTTGTACAATTTCTGTGAACAATTTCTAAGTCACAGGATATGAGAACTATTTGTACAATGGTTGCAGCACCCTGCGGTCATGTTGTAATGATTTATGACCTTCCCAGCCAACGTCCAACAAGTAAAATCAATAGGTGAAACCGGATTCGTATAATGACCATGCGATTCATGTAATGGACTTGATTTGCTTAACAGTCATGGTGATTTGATTAACAATCATGGTAAAAAAAATGTAAAATTGGGTTCAGCTACATGATGATTGAATTGCTTAATGATTGTATTGCCTAATGGCCCCAATTCTGGTCCCAATTGTTGTCATAAATCAAATACTATATATATTGTATTACATAAGTGCATCTAGCAGATGCTGCTATAACTCTTCTTTTCAAACATTAAATTACAAAAAATCCATAAACCAGAAGTTTTGGCATCATTAACATTCTCTTCTAGATTGCTTTCTTGTGGATAGAACACAAATTATGAAGATCAAGATAAAACTAAACTCCATAATATGCTTATTTCTGTTGCAGCTTATGTCATCATAGATGCTCACATTGGCCTTGGTACCTGATATCAGTATATATCTCTATGTTATGTTATGTGGACTCCAATCCTTCTCTTTCAAGAAACTTAATTTGCCAGTTGAATTTTAAGATACTCAATATTTCCAGAGTCTCTGATCTTTGTTAACCTCCAAAGGGAGGAGTCCATTCTGGATGTAAAATACATGAATGAGTTTACTATTGCAGCTTCAGGTCATAAACCCTCCAATATTATTCGACTTTAACTGGGGACTTCATGTCTTTGATTTGTCAGAGATTTAAGATACTTTCCCATAGTAATGGCACAAACATTTCTCTGATTTTCTTATCAAAACAAATTTGCCTTTTTTTATTTTCCCGGGGCCCTAAGGGTGTTTTGTATATTTTATTTATGTATCTTTGTTTAAACAATTTGCATAGCTATCCATTTCAAACAATGGGTATCATACAAAGTTTTAAAAATATCACAAGAGTGCAAACTCATAATGTCCCAGTTAAACAATAATCCCCAAAACAAAACCACATCACCAACATCAATGTTCCTCATCTAGCTATCTTGCTCCAAGCCTGAAAAAAGAGCTAGGTTTTCAGATATTTACAAAATCTTAATTGGATCTGGGCCATATGGATCTCTCAGAGGAGATCCCAGATTGAGATACGTATAACCCATAATAACTAAGTCTAAAAACCACAACTCATACTTGGAGAATCCATTAATCATTCTTCTTAGCTCAAGCATGTTTGAACTAAAGTTAAATATTTCAATGAATGTTGTATATGGTCTCTATTATGCTACCAGTTCTGACTGGTTTACTAGAACTGGTAGCAAAAAATTCTAAGGTTCACCCAAACCGGTAGTTAAAAAAAGCTTTAAAAAGTGAAAATTCCATTACACTCAGCTGTGCCACATGATCATTGGAACCTTTTTCCCCCACTTTTAAAGCATTTTTTTACCATCGGTTCGGCTGAATAGGTAGTAAAATGCTTTAAAAAGTGGGGGGAAAGGTTCTGATGATTGTGTGGCTCACAGCTGATCCAGGCAATCATTGGAACCATTTTTTCCCCACTTTTAAAAGCATTTTTTCCTACCTATTTGCTTGAACCGGCATGAAAAAAAATGCTTTAAAAAGTGGGGGAAAGTTGGCCATGCCCACCCATTCACATGCCCCTCAAGCCATGCCCACTGAACCGGTGGTAAAAAATTAGATTTCACCACTGCTCCTTATTGGTAATAGGCATGGCAATTTTCTGAATATATTTTAATTAAATATTATTTAAAAGGATCTTTTAATAGATGCAGTTTGCCATAGATCCATTCTTATTTACATATCAATTTGTGATGTCACATTTATTCTGAAGTTTCCTTCTGCAGAGTGATAAAGGAGCTATTTAAAGTTAACCACTGTTGAAACTTCAACTAAATTTATAATTACTAATGATAATATCTTTTTTTCTTCTTAATGCTACCCTCATATATGGCATTTTTCAGAGTGTAAGATGCACCCCCCCAAAAAGAGGGTGGAAATGTTGATGCGTCTTATACAACAAATACAGCTATTTTTGGCCTCCCGAAGCCTCATCCCTGAATCCTATTCTTGCGAAAAACAAAGTGTTTTTCGCAAAAAAAAAAGACGTTTTTGCCTTTCTCCACCCTCCAGAAGCACTCTTCAGGCTTCAACAGGACTGGGGGAAGGGAAAAATGCCCCCTTTGGTGAAAAACGGGCCATTTTTCACCAAAGCAGGGGAATTTTTCTATTCCCCCAGCCCTGCTGCAGCTTGCAGAGTGATCCTAGGGGCCGGGGAGGACAAAAACCTTTTTTTCTTACTTACCTCTTCAAAATCTTGGTGCGTCTTATACACCAGTGTGTCTTATAGTCCGAAAAATATGGTAAATTCCTAATTTAAGTTTAGCTATAGAAAACTAGAAGATACAGCAATAGCTATAGCATTTAGACTTATATACCACTCCAAAGTGCACTTTACAACACTCTCTTGGTTTACATATTGCCCCCAACAATCTGGGTCCTCATTTTACCGACCTCAGAAGGATGGATGGTTGACTCAACCTATGTGATTATGTAATTGCAAGTTACATAATTTTGTGCTTTGATTTCTTTCATGCCAGAAACAAACTTTACATCAGTATCCAATATCTTCTTTTCCTCAATATCAAATTTTCAGTGTTTTCTAGTGGTCACTATTCTAGTGAATAATTGGAATCCTGCAAATATGCTTGGAGCTGATATCACTGTTTGCAGTGTAATGTAGAAAATATTTCTTATCATAACTAATTTTAATGTGACATTAGTTATTCTGCTTTTCAGACTGAATCTGCCCTTGCCAAGAATTACCCTGGGAAGAAGGTATCTAGCACTAATAACACTCCTATCCCAAGACTGACATCAAATCCATCCAGAGTTGACCGTTTAATTGTGGATCAGTTACGAGAGCAAGCCAGAGTGAGTTATTTACATTTCGAATCTCATATTTTATCAGCTTTGTTACTTTTCCCAAATGGGTGCAAACCTTTTGCCAAACAGAAAGATTGACCATTACATGCAGTGAAATCAAAATGTCACTCCTAATAGACATGGCTGCACAAAACAATTTTATAGAATTCATTTGATATTTAACACAGTTTGTTCCATCTTCATTCCTGTCAGTTTTAAGAAAGGAGGACTGGATGCAATTTTTATCAACTTTGATGGCATTCCTGCTCCCTCTTGCAGGTTTTCCTGCTTATGATATTGGGTGAATGATGAAAATAGAAGCAGGGATGTGTTTGGAAGGGAAGCATCATCATGTAAAAAGGTGTAACACCTTCAAAAACAGGAAAAAGTACTTGCTTGCACATTTTAATTCAACAAATATCTTCATATCCAGAATCTGAAGTTTATTAAGATTAGAACAATTCAAGGAAATAAATAAGTGAAACAAGTTACACTATATTTCTCATAGTCTAAAATATCACTTGTCTTGGTGGATGACATAGAATAAAAAAATACTTTTAGAACATTCATGAGATAATCTAAAGACCTGACAACCATAACTAGAAACAATAGCAATAAAAACATTAAGGAAAACCCACAACAATACTATAAAAATAGATAATAAAAAAGAAAAAAATGGCAACATCAAATTGGGCAAAGGTTCTGAATCAGCTTGGTTTTCACTATTTTTCTTTTTAAAAAAATCAAAGGGTAATTAACCACTGTGCTGCCATAGAAAAGTGACATCTCGCTTCAGTCTGTTCCACCCCCAAATCTCACAGAAGTGAAGAATTTGTAACAATTATGCCTAATAGGTTTAACTGGTTGGGCCAATACTGGCTGAAGTAAGTGATCCTGCAGTTATAAATAACTTTATCATGATTTAATTATTGTATTTATCAGTATAAAAATCCTGAAATATTGTTCTATCGATATAATTTTGAAAAACACAAAATGTTTTGAAACTCTTAAATTCAGAATCTTGTGAAATGGCATGGGGATAATTGGCAAATACAAATAGGAGAGTTGGAGCCACATAAATATGGTTCCACCACAAAACCGTGCTCGACTAAACCGCGCCTGACTAAACCGCGTCGCTGACGTCATCAAAAGGGCGACAACAGCGCAGAGACAGAAGCACACCGTAAACCCTAAACCTAAAATTAACTCCTAAACCTAACCCCCCTAAACCGAATCCTAAACCTAACCCTAAACCTAACCCTTAACCTAACCCTAACCCTAACCCTAAAGCTAACCCTAAAGCTAACCCTTACCTTAAGTTGAATTGGCTTGCTTTCAAAGCGCTATTTAAAGCGCCCTTCTTTCTCCGCGCTGGCTGTTGTCGCCCTGTTGATGACATCAGCAACGCGGTTTAATCGGGCGCGGTTTTGACGGGTCACACATAAATATAGTTCTTTAAAAAGCAATTTCATATTGTAGTTTTTTTAGTGAGGCCTTCAGAGTCATTTTTCTTTCAATACTTTTTAGAAAGAGCTTCTTGACAGAAGTCAATTAGGATGGAATTTAAACTGCTATCTATTAATATCCATAGGTTGTGACTCTGCTGGGAAAGATGGAACGTCTTCGAAGTTCTCCCCTTCATGCTAATATCTGTACTGCTCTTGATAAGCACTTGGAAGCAATACATGTTGTACAATCCCGCAGAAAGGATGAAATTGTCAATGCTTCACATCGGCAAAGACAAGGAGGCCCCCGGTGTCAAGATGACAGAGGTAATACAGAATAACAGAGTTGGAAGGGACCTTTGAGGCCTTCTAGTTCAACCCCCTGCTCAAATAGAAGGCCCTATGCCATTTTGGAGAAGTGGCTGGCCAATCCCTTCTTTAAAACTTCCAGGGATAGAACCCTACAACTTCTGAAGGCAAGCTATTGCACTGGATAATTGTTGTAACTTTCAGGAAATTTCTCACTATTTTCTGGGTTGAATCTCTCTTTGATATGCTTTAGATTGTTACTTGTTGTCTTGCCCTCAAGTGCTTAAAGGATAGGATGTCTCCTTCTTTGTGACAGCCCCTCAAATATTGGAAGACTGCTATGATGTCAACCCTATCCTTCTGTTTGTTAAAATAGACATGCCGAGTTCCCTCAACTGTACCTTATCTTCTAAGGTGGTGTCTGCAAATTTTATGAGTTCTTCTATTCCCTCATCTAAATTATCTATGAAGATGTTGAAGAGCACTAGGCCTAGGACAGAATCTTGGGGTACCCAAGGGGTACCACTGCATATTTCCCTCTGTGTAGATCTGGTTCCATTAAGCGCTACATGTCGAATATAGTTTGTCAGCCAGTTACATATCCATCTGGTAGTGATGCTGTCAGTCTACCTTACCAAGATGTAGATTGTGGTCCATCTTACTGAAGTCCAAGTAGACTATGTCCATAGCATTTCGCTGGTCAACTAATTTAGTTAGTTTGTCTAAGAATGGAATAAAATTTGGGCATGATCTGTTTTTAACAAAGCCATATTTGCTTCTAGTAATAGTTTGCTAGCTTCTAGATGTTCACAGATCTGTTTTTTGATGATCTTTTCCAGGATCTTCCCAGATATTGATGTCAGGCTCATAGGCGTGTAGTTTCCTGGATTTGTTTTTTCTCTCCTTTTCCAAAGATGGGAACCACAACAGTTTTTCCCCGCAGTCCTCTGATAGTTCCCCTGTGCACCAGACTTTTTAAAAGATAAGGTTCAGTGGTTCCATGATTACATCTACCAGTAACCTCAGAATTCTGGGATGTAATCCATCTGGTCCTGGTGATTTAATCTCATCTAGGATGGGCAAGAGTTGTCTTACCATTTTCTTATCTATTTTGACTTACATTCTTAGTCTGTGTCTATAGAGATTTTCAGTCATCCAGCTTCAGAGCTGAAGAAGCTTCTTGGATGAGAAGCGAAACATCTTCAAAGAAAAATAATAATCCAGTTGCCTCTTGAAAAAGCAACTTTGGGATTCCTAGACTTAGTCTTTTATGGTTCTGCTTTTGGTAGAATAGATTATATTTTCTTTTATGTGCAGACGGATGAAAAGAATGAATTAAGCAATTCCATTTTTTTCTGCTGTGATCATTTTCTCCTTATACCACTGGGGGATTGATTGTTTCCTTGCCTTTTTAGTTACTTTTTGCATGTTGAAATATTTTGTTTTTAATTTTTGACATTTGTTGTGGTTTCATTTATTCTGAGCCTTAGCTTTTCTGACTTTACCTTTGCAGATTCAGGCTATAAACTGGTTATAGGGTTATATCTGGCAATAACTGCAGGCTATATCTGCCTTAGTTATGAGTCCCTCTTTCCATTTTTTTAAATACTTGTCCCTTTTGTCTTTCAGTTTAACAGAGAATTTTCTTTGTTCACCCATGCTGGTTTTTACTTGAATCTGTTATTTTTCTTTTTCAGTGGTCTTATGCTGGACTGGATATTTATCATTTTCCTGAGTTTCTCAAGCTTCTTGAGTTGTTTTCTCCTTTAAGATTTTTATCCAATTGTTCCAAAATTCGAAGTTTGTTGAAATCAGCTTTATTAAAGTCTAAGACATTGCTTTGCTTTGCTTTGTTCTATTTCTTGTGTCTGTATTATACTGAATTCCAAAATGACAGTCACTCTCCAAAGTTCCCGCATCCTGAACCTCTTCTATCATTTCAATTCTGTCAATGAGTAGTAAGTCCAGTATAGCTGATCTCTTGTTCCTTTCTCTAGTTTTTGGGAGACGAAGTTGCCTACTAGGTTTGTCTGAAATTTATTTGATCTCTCAGTATGGACAGTATTTGCCTTCCAATTGATATTAGGATAGTTAAAGTCCCCCATTATTGTATAGGTGCTTCCTATACATCTTAATTAATTGAGCAAAGAAAGGTATACTTCTTAAAGTATTCTATATCTGCATCTTTTATAACAACAATTTGTTAGCTCTTAATATTTGGTACTTTAGGGATCCTCACTGAAAGGAAAAAATGTGTCTAAATACAATATATTGCCAAAAGTATTCGCTCACCCATCCAAATAATCAGAATCAGATGTTCCAATCACTTCCATGGCAGACTGCTTTTTCAAACATTTGTGAAAGAATGGGTCGCTCTCAGGAGCTCAGTGAATTCCAGCGTGCAACTGTGATAGGATGCCACCTGTACAACAAATCCAGTCGTGAAATTTCCTCCTAAATGTTCCACAGTCAACTGTCAGCTGTATTATAAGAACGTGGAAGTGTTTGGTGGTAACAGCAACTCAGCCACGAAGTGGTAGGCCATGTAAACTTGTCCAACATCAGTGTGTGACCTCACAAATGCGCTTCTGGAAGAATGGTCAAAAATTCCCATAAACACACTCCTGAACCTTGTGGACAGCCTTCCCAGAAGAGTTGAAGCTGTTATAGCTGCAAAGGGTGGACCGACGTCATATTTAACCCTATGGATTAGGAATGGGATGTCACTTACAGTAGGTTCATATGCGAGTAAAGGCAGGTGCGCAAATACTTTTGGCAATATAGTGTATGTTTAATTCGTTTAATAATAATTAGCACAAAATAAGTTATTTATTTAATATTTCCAAAAACATCGACGTTGCTGTTGATGCATCCTTACATGAAACTAAGCTCAGGTCATACTCTATAGGATTTATAAAAATGTTTTACAAGGATCAAAATTAATGTGCAAGTACACTTACCGTAATAATAAAGTGAGATATTACATTATGTACCTTTTCAAAAATAAAATTGTAATTTTTGTACTTTCTTATTCTTCCTCTGAAACCATGGTTATTGGGATGTATATTAGCTAATAAAATGGAAGATAATTATTAAATGAATGAAAGCGAATATACATCTCCAAGGATAATGTTGCAGGATCCAATATGGGTCATTTGCTGAGACCAGAGGATTGATCTTCTGAGCTTTCAGATTTGTACGGGAGCCCATCTTCAGGGAACCTCTCCATAGCCTGCATAATTATTAAACTCAGAAATGAGTATATGCAGTATTGGATTGAAAGCAGACAAGGGTATTTCATATCTGGCATGGGCATGCTCTCTGTACCTTTTGAGGCCAACAGATATAAATAGATTGCCTATATCAGATTCAAAGCACTCTTGCCCACCTCAGATTAGTTACTGCACACTTTCGTTACAAATATACTCCATTAAAAGATGGGGAAACTATATAGGTAATTTTTGCTATTGTTTATTACAATAATTTAAGCCCTAGCAATGTCAGGATTTCTTAAATGGGAATTCCTTTCATGTTCTTTTTGGATAGGAATAGGTAATTATTACCTATTTAGATTTAGATATATTTTCCTCTCACAATAGTATAAAAATAATGCAGTATTGCTAAAATCAGTAGCAGCTATTGTGTCGGTTTGTTTCTTAATAATGATATTGAGCAATTGATAAGAATTTATATTTTCTATATTTTCTTATTTTGTAGATGTTTTTGCTCTTGCATTGGCTATTAAAGAGATGTGCATAGCAACGCGTAAAGCTCGTACTACACTGTGGTGTGCTCTTCAGATGACATTGCCTAAAACAACCTATACATCTGTACCAGCTGAAATGGAAAAGGTTTTACAAGAGCTAGTAACATCTCAAGATAAATTGTATGATCAGATGAATAGTGGCAATCCTATGATTCAAAGGGGAGATACAAAAAAGCACTGAAATGCAAAGGCAAAACACAAATACATATATATTTGTGTGTATATATATACACACACACATATATAGCAGTACATTAAAAATGGTAAATATATGTTTAAACATTCTGTCCAAATTAAAAGTAAATACATGAAAGTGAAGTTGGCTTATGTGAATCCAGCAGCTAATTTATAAGTATCAGTTAACATAAGCCAAGATGTCTATGTTAACTGTTGTTGGAATCAGTATATTAATGAGGCTGAACTACTGTATTAGGTTAAATAAATCAGTACATTTTAAACTTCTAAATCCATTCTATAGTGTAAGTATACACAATGAGAGTTTGGTTGTATAATAAAAATTCTTTTAGATTACATAATTACTTTCAAATAATGAACTGAATTACTGTCACATCGTGTGCACAGTCTAGTAAGACAAGCTTTGATTGTGAAAAGAAAAAAGATTTTATTTAGACAATGAATACCTGGAAACTGAAAGAAAACAAAGCTAAACACACCCAGTATGAAAATTTTTAAAAATGAAAATATTTAAAGGAAGACATATTTATAATTTTGAAATCTTATTCTAAGTTTAAGTACAAAATTAACCTGATTTTCTCAAATTAGTGATGCTATCATAAAGTTATTATCCAACCATGCACGTTAGGGAACATAAAAAGAAACTGAAATCATTTGTACCTATTATTTTAAATAATATCAATAAAAATTGCCTGTTTCAAAGTATTTAAATGTAAACAAAAATTACATTTATGTAATCTGCGTCCTTACAGTTGTGCTGCAACTAAAATAATGAGTATTTTTAATACCCTTGGTTTACTTTAAGAAGGGTATCAAGAAGTTCTGAAATGCACTTTCTTTACAGTTAACCAGTTTGGTTTGAAATTGTTTAATTTTGTTTCCTTGGTTTGCTTCTGTGTACTTTAGCACTGTTGAACGATTCCTTTTGTCTTAATATCTTTTAATATCTTTTTATTGAATGTGAGTAACTTATTAAATTAGCATGTTATTATGTGGCTCAGGAGATCTTGGGTTTTAACAATATAGCATGAACATAAACTGTATAATGTCTGGATAAAATTTATTAATCTGCCCTTTGCTAGGTACATAAATACTTTAAGTATTTGTGTTCTTCCAGCGTTTAGAAATCCTGGTGTGCTAAAAAGTATAATCAAACCACATAAATTGCCTTTAGATGATGAGAGGAATTGATTGAGATTGCAAGAGAAAATATAGGGAACAATTTTGATCATTGATATGACATTCCATGCTGTCAAAATAAACTGCAGATGGCAGCAAATTCAGATGGCAGCAAATTCATACCACTATGCTATAGTAGCCACTCAAAAGATGGGTTGAGTTTTGACATTGAAATGTTTCATGTTATGAAAACAAATATTGTACTGACTTTAGTCTCTCAATTAATAAACTGGATTTTGTTGCAGTAAATTGTGTTTTTCCTATGTCTATGCCTTGACTTTCAGAGACAAGATATTGGCAAATAGGGCTTAAAAATTAAATTAAAAACTTCAGGCTCCCTTGTTTCACTTTTCCAGCATTTTTACAAGCTTTTAGCTGTACTTTCTAATAGGATCAGAGAACTAGGAATGTATACCTATTCAATTTAGGTAAGAGCAGTGTTTTGGGCCGAGCCTACTAGTGTGCTTGTTGTATTGATCATTGGCTTCTTTGACAAACTATGACTGTTCTGAAACTGCAAGCCCAGGAAAAGGAATGACAGGTACCTTGAGCACATAAATATCAGATCCAATGCACTTTTCCCAGTTTGCACACTTGTATGGAGAACTGTAGAATTACCTGTTCAGTTGACATAACAAAATTTGATCTGGACAATATTTGGAAATAGTATAACCCAAAATATAAATTTCCAGTTCTTATTGGATAGGTCAATACAGCATTTAAAGGAGATTATTTTCTATTTACTGAATTGGGTAATCTACTTTTCCTAGAAAATAGATGTTTTGTTCATTTATATTCCACCTTTATTATTTTTATAAACTCAAGGTGGTGAACATAACCAATAATTTCCCCTATTTTTCCCATAGCAAAAACTCTGAGAAGTGAGTTGGGCTGAGAAAGAATGATTGGCTAATGTTAACAGTATTTTTATATGCTGTGATCACTTCAAAGTCACCTCTGTAATGGAACTACTGTTGTTCTTGTTTGATGTTGCCTGGAAATAAACAAATGGTTCAGTGGTGGGTTCCGGTATGCTGCAATGGGGCCAGGTGTCCACCAGATGCATAAGTGCAGTATGCCGCAGTATGCGCATGCATACTTACCACCCGCAATGCTCCAGCTGCTCGGCGGAGCGTTGCACAGGCGCCTTATGCTCCGTGCGCGAAAGCCCTGATAGGCTCAAATATAGGTAAGGAAGCCGGGCGGGTGGACCCTCTAGAGCACTGTACTGAACCCACCACTGAAATGGTTGAATATTTTCAATATCATATAGAACTGATCCTCACTACACACACTTCAGCAGAGTTCGCATCTTTATCCTGTCTCTTGACCACTGCAACTCTTTCTTACTTGAAAGATCAACTACCCCCATCTTCACCTGCATCTTTAATAAATCATTAGAGATGTATTATATTCCTTCTTGCTTCAAACACTACTATCATCCCTGGGGCCCAAGAAACCATCAAGGAGCTGTGTGACTACATACTGGTTTCTCTGACATCTGTATTTAAGAAAGCCTTTGAAAGATTAGTGCTGATCCACCTCAAAATCATCACAGACCCACTGCTAGACTTCCTTGCAGTTTGCCTACCGAGCAAATAAATGAGAGATGATGCTCTTAAGATGTAAGATGTAGTGGCACTACATCTTACAACATCCTAAATCCCCAAGGTTTTTTGTAGACCTATGCAAAGTCCTTTTTGTAGACTTCAGCTCAGCATTCAATATCACCATCCTAGAAATTCACTCTAAACTGACTCAGCTAGTTATACCTGTCCACTTATAAATGAATTATAAGCTTTCCAACATAGAAAGCAGGTGGAGCCAGTAAAATCACCTTTTAATACCTGTTCAGTTAACACAAATGCTCCCCAGGGCTTTGTGCTCTCTCCATATCAATGACTATGTTCTCCTAATGGTATCGGGACTATATTACTTAGTTGTTTGTATGTACACAGAACTGTTAAACTGGAGATAAATTCCTTATGTGTCCAATCACACTTGACCAATAAAGTACCAACTCTTTACATTTCTATTCTATTCCATTCCCATCAGGTGCTAGTATGTTTTAATCAGGAACCTTTGAATCTAATTGTTGCAAAATCTCTTCCTGTCTTGCTTCCTCAGAGCAGTGAAATACTACATAAAACTCCAAGTTGATATTTGGAAAAGTTATGTGAAAGTTAATATAGGTAAGTTTAGTACACCAATTGCACAAATAACAAGCTGGATTAATTATGAGAGGTTATGTATAAAGAACAACTAATAATGCCCTATGAGCATTGATACATATAGCAAGGAAATATAACTTTAGTACTGCAAATGTAAAGAGAGCATGATTTGACAGCAATGCCAACAGTATGTCACAATAGCTGTACCCTTAATAATCTCAAACATGGAACTATTGAAATAACAGTATTACAATCAAGTAAGAGACCAAGTAGTCAGATCTTCCAACAAAATGTTAGAAATATGTTCTTATTTGTGATCAGATAGTTACTGGAAGTATGTCTTTGCTGCTATTCAGCTAATTCCCTTATTTAAGAAGCAAAATGATAAAAGGTTGTAAATTATACTAAGACCTATTATAATAAATAAAAAATGGGGAAAGATTTAATGTAGCCTTCCTTTACTTGATGTCTGTTCTTGGCCTTCAATTTTCAATAATTCATCAGTTAGTGTATCAGCAAGGAAAAGGTGATAATCAGGATGGTACAGCAATTACCGCTTAGAGAAGGCTGTAAAGTGGTTTATAAATTTAAGTGCTATTGCTATTGCTGTGGTACAGCAATTACTCTAAAACATTTAAGAGAGTGACTGCCTCAAACAAGGATAATATTTATTGTATCAAGTTTGGAATCAAGTAGCCAGAATCCTGGGTACTGAAATGTTGATGCTGTACTAACACTATAAAACAATAGGATAAATAGCAGGATAAAAGAAGATTTGGGAGCATCTATTAGAATAAAGAGGAAAGTAAAGGCAGTAACTTAGGTCCCATGTAATTAAGGTGACTATGCTTCTGCATTACAGCCGGGACTTCAGTACTACAAACACAACTCTCTTCCTATAAAAGGAAACATTTTTTTGTTCCAAATTACTTTCCCTCTAAAATGGAAGAGTTATCTGATATTTGCTAAAAATTATCATTATCTTATAAATATTAAGGATCTTTGCAGAGAGTGATAGAAATCATCTTGAATTTAGTAGTCTTTGCGATAAATATGGTAGATTATAAAGAATGTATGGAGCAAGAAGTGAACCATGTAATGTGCCAATTAAATTCATAGCGCTTTACCTAAGGTAGCAACAGTACAGCTTTGCTCAAGGCTCACACACACATTTATTAGGCCAATCCTGAACAAATGAAATATGTTGTCTCATATCGATGTCAGATGTTTATAGCATTGTGCTAAATCCAACCTTATACACTCATCATGGCTTGTTATCTCTTCTTGACAAATACATGTAGCAAACTGGATTTTTCCTCAACAATTCTACTACCTTTAGGTAGACTGAATATTACAGAAGTTCCTTAACTTTACAGTTTTCAAGAAAATATTTAATAAGAGCAGAAAATAACAAGAAAAACAAAAAGTCACCAATTCTTTGGTTATAGATCTTGGCTATGGCAATTCAGCCAAATTCTTGGACAGCAAAATTGTATACACAAAAATTTAAATCAAAGTTTTTATCATGAGAGAGAAAACATTCCCTCTCCATGCAAATCTTGCCAAGTACATGCTGCTGCTTTGGAAAAACAAAGAAAAATGTTCAAAAAGCTTCTCTCTGCTTGATCATTCTGGCTAAATGTGCATGCTGTGCCATGTTTCAGATAATGGAGGGGAAGAAAGTCCAGCAGCTGTTCTTGGCTACCGTTTCCTCTCGCCTTTTTGTGTTCTCTTCTTCTCTTTCTCCTTGCGTTCTTGCTTAGTCAGCTTGTCTTTCTCCCGCTGAAGTTTGTCCCGCTCTTTCTTTTGCTGGGATTCATCACGTAGATGTTCTCTCTCCAGCTTACGAGCATTCATAACATCTTCCAGGTTTGTATTTTTGAACAAGGCTAACAAGCACAGAGTTGAGGAAACAAATGTTTTGAGCAATAAAGTTCTGACTTTGTCTAAACATACTTGCAACAGAGCCTTAAGCCATAGAGTATAAAAGAAAAACCAATTCCACATGGCACTATGGAAAATGAGATTTAGCATTCAAATCTCAATTCAGACTTGCATTTCTCAGTGAGGAAAATGTAACTATTCCTTAATTTACTAAGTTTATTCTCGAGAAATAAAAAGAAAAAACATTTAACAAAGTAGAAGATGCAACAGACATTATCAAGAAAATAGCTGCAGCAGCATGATCTATACCTAGTCAATTAACCCATCAGGAAGCCATTGAAGAAAGCTTGAATAGCTTACAAGAAAATCTTTCTTATAATAATTGAAATAAAAGGAAATTCCATTCTTCTTTACCCAAGATTCTCCTCTATACTCTCAACATTATTTACAATTTTATACCGTTAACACAATATACTTCTCTATTATTATTCCAAGAATGATCAAATGTAGCTTCAAGGACCATCCTACAAAGGATACATTTGTTAGAAGCAATAGGCATTGCTGCTGCTCCCAAATCTTCATGTACATTTACTTCAGTGTACTGAGTTAAGGATAATAAAATATTGGGAATATGGACAAGTGTACTAAATGCCTATGTAAGATACTTCATGACCATTGGCCACCATGAAAAAAATAATTAAGAGACCAGAAATAATCTTCCATTCCCCTAATGAAATAATCAGAAATATTTGCCTGTAGTTTTTCTTCCATCAAGGATGGCAATATAGCTAACTTCAACCTCCACTCGTTCTTGGTATCTATTAACCAGAGATTTTTTATTATTATAAATATTTTTTATTTCCATTTTCATAACACACACTCACATGTATACTATACATAGCCC